AAAGACAACCAAGTTTCTTCCATTCAAACCAATTGGTAGTTGATATTTTTCTATATAATGTTTACCATATTATTAAATAAATTTATACATGTGAATTATAAATATTAAAAAATTAAAAAGAAACAATCATTAATGCCACACATAAGGATGTATAAAAAATTTAAAAAAAAACATCTTTCACTGAATTTCCTTACTTCTTTAGTACCTCTCTGGCTCAAATTCAAATATGATTAGATCCTAATTTTGACATTTTAAACATTTAAAAAGAAGAAGAAGAAGAAGAAGAAAAGAGAGAGACTCCGGGAGTATGGCACGGGGTAGCTTAAGGTAGATATGGAACTAACCACAAGTGTGAAAAATGATGCATTGTAATTCTTAGACCTTGAGATGATCAAGGAAGGTTTGAAGAGGTGTGAAACTACATTCTACTATTTTATAACCCACCATCAAATGGGCAGAATAACACCATCAAATGGGCAGAATAAAAAGAACCTACATTCTTTAAGTAATTGTCTAATCCATAATCACCTATCAAAAAAACAAATTGTCTAATCTTTAATCTCATTGCAAAATTATTAGAAGGGTCATGATCTGATCATACAACGTTCATAACAATTTCAATGTGTGTAGTTTCCAAAAGGCTTGAAGTTGTAGCAGTTGGTTTCGATCATTGCCAGGGCAACTGATTGCATAATTCTTGAATTCAGAAGAAATCATAAACCCCTGCCATACTCAAATTAAGTTATTAGACATAAAACGATTACTTCATCTTCCCATGGAGAGAAAGGTAAAAGTGTAAAACGACAAAGGACATGCAGGCATTGGCAAAGCAATCAGAGGAAGACAAAAGCACTGCTTAGCAGACATGAGAATCACAGAGCTAGGCTTTCAAGTATAAAGCGAATGCAGTCCAAGGTAAAATCTTGAACAAATATATTGATTATCAATCTACCTGCACACGTACAGCTAATATAAAGACTACAGCCATGGTAGTGAAACTCTCTATCCATTAATTAGAAAAAAACATTTGAAAAATGCTGAAACACTTTTAATATCTTCACTTTAGAGCAAATGAAGGATTAAATCATTTCCATGCATACAGTTTGCAAATAATAGTTTTGTGCAAATATGCGTTGACACAGCACGGGACAAAATAATACATGTCTAACTTCCCCAATATCATTAAAACAGTGATCCTCCCAAACAATATGATCGCCAAATCAAGGAAGCACACATTTTGAAGCAATTTACATCTCACACAATGAATAACTTTAGCATGTCCCCAATGTTCCAATTGTTTTGCCACTGAAAGCAGCAATGCTGTATTGGAATTTGAAACAAAGTTTATCCATTTTTCCCCTAGGCCATTAATCCCACATCGAAAATTAGATACCAGAATAAACCAATAATAGACTTACTAGTTAGCATGCTATGTGGGTGTTCTTAGAAAATGAAAACTTTTTAAACCGTAAGAGTTTGAAGAAATACCTACATGCTGAAAGCAAAGAACATACTAAACCTACGTGCTGAAAGCAAAGAACATACTAAACCTACATGCTGAAAGCAAAGAACATACTAACATATTGCTCAATTTACTGTCAAGAGAAAATCTCTAATAATACAGTTCATGGAGCAGAAACCTCAAATAACTAAAACACAATCCCAACAGAAACGCATCAATGTAGATATTTAAGCATTAGGTAAGGAACTAGCTTTTGAACATGGAAATTCAGGCAAGTTGGAGAGCTATGTCTACAAAAATTACAGCATGCAAATCAATCTTTATGCCAACTTTGCATTTCCACTGTAACACTGGAGGTACTACAATAATCACGGAACTGCATGCTGTAATCAAAATCAGAAACCAACAATTGCACATGAAATTTTGGGTTGATCGAAGCCTACAAGAATCTTAGAAAAATACCTGACTTTCTGGGTGAGAATGGACTGGAGCTTGCGTGCAAGATCCTGGGATCGAATCTTACGCTCGAGGTTCTTCCGGGCCAAAACCCTCTTCTCCGACTTCTTGACGTGATGAGTCCGGCCCGCCTTTATCAGCCGCTCGATCCCACTTGATTGCATAATCCTCTGCATAAACCCTAGCGCCTGCTCCAGTCTCCCATCCCTTACCCTCACTCGTATCCCTCTCACTTGCTGAAGCTGACTCCCATCATGACTCAATGAGTTGATCCCGTAACTCGGCCGAGTGAAGATTGTAGAAACTCGCCTCGCCACAGAGTTCATTTCCCTGATTTCTCTTTGCTCCGATTCTGATTTTCGTTTGGGGTTTACGGTTACCCTGAGCTGTAATGAATGAAAAGAATAATCTTATTTCAGGTAAACCAACAAATAAGGCCCATCAGCTTCTTAACTATTGAAATTGAACACGTAATAATTTTTTATGGCAAATAGGCCTAACTCGACTTCTGGACTTGTTTGATTAGAGAGGAGAGGAGAGGAGAGGAGCGTGCACAAAATAACTTTAATTATTTTGCATTTATGTGGGTTTTTTTTTATATATTTTTTATAAGGGCAATTATTAATAAGTTACTATTGTTATATGTTAATAATTAAAGATTCGATCTCCAAATTTAATGAACAATTCACCTGCCTCAATAACACACGTGGTCATTAAACCGTTTGGTGGAGTTCGCATTTACGTGGGTTAATGGTGGGAGGAATTAGGAAAGGGACACCTGGGTAATAAACTCGTGACACAGGGGAGTGGCCCCCAATTGTAAGCAATGGTGAGCCACTTACTTTGAAGGTGAGGAATGTGTGCATAATCCGTTTGAATTGTTTTCTAGCATGTCTTTGTTATTCACATATGGATAGATCGATCTAAAGCGATTTATAAAGATTTTTAGTTTTCTTTTTAATTTCCTAATTAATAACAAATATTGTAAAAACACTCGTTTCAATCATTTAAGTAAAAAAATAAAACGTTATTAGTCACTAACACTTTACAAATATTTAAAATGCTAGACATTAATAAAATGAGACTAAAAATTTAAGTGAATGAAGTGTGAAGCGCCTATGCTGGCTCCATCACATATTTTTAAAATTTGACAAAATTGTCCAACTTAAATTAGAAGGCGTCTTTAATTTTAAAGGATAAAATGTACTTTTTAATATTTTAACCTAAATAAAACTTAAAATATGTTTGGATTGAGAGGAATGGAGAAGAAGGGAAAAAATTATTTATTTGATTATAAAAAAAATCGAAGGGGAGGGGAGAGAAAAAATTTCCTTTACTTTTTTTTTTTAATTTAATTACTTATCCGAATAAGAAAATTGAAAAATAAGGAAATGGAGGAAAATGGAGAGATATAATTCCCCTCCCCTCCCTTCCCCTCAACTCACACATAGTAAAACTAAAATCAAAACATCAAATGATGTATTTCTCTCCTTCAACTCCCAATTACGTTTTCTTCAAATTGTGCAATTTCTCCAAGTTCATTCTCTTTCCCTTTTAACTTTCTAGTATATTATTCTTCTTCTCTCCTTCATTTGCTTTGTTTTTTTCTTTTCTTTTTTATTTTTTTGCATTGTTCCCTACCTTTTTACACTTCCCCCTTTTTTTGGCTCTTGAAAAAATCATGGTATTTGCTTCATCTATGTTACATGCCATTTCTGTAATAAAACTACTAGGGAAATAAACTAAAATATATTTCAACATTGTTAGTATGCGATTATCCATTGCTCTATTGGTTTGCTAATGAACTAGTGTTATAAACTTTATAAAAGCCTTGTTTTATGCTTTTGAATAAGTTATACATATCATTAGTTTATTATATAATTTTTAATACTAATTACTTCACTTTGATGAAGCATTCATTTCGTTTTTCACTTTACCATTTATGTTTTTTAAAAGATTGGTGATTCAAATTGCTTTGTACTTTTGACAATACTATTAATAACATATCATGTGATTCATATTAAAAAAAAAAAATTGCTTAGCCTAAGGAAAATAGAGGCTTAACATTTACTTTAAATTTCTTGTACGTGACCGTTGTTGTCTACAATTCAGCCAGCTTCTATGATGTGAGAAGTTTTGGCGTTTGTTTGCAATGGAAAAACGTACGAGGGCTTGACAGCAATGGTGAAGAAGACGAGGGTTTTGTCCTTTTTTTTTTTTTTAAGTATTAATCTCCGATAATCATATTAAATTCAATTAATTTAAAATTAAATTATCAAATCACATCATACCTCAATTGAAAAAAGTTTTTCCAACGCCTATTTCTCCATTTCATAACAGTTAAATTCAAAAATTTACATTAAAATACCCTAATTCCTTCCACTCCAATTAACAATTAACAACTCCTTGGGTTTGTCCTTTCATTCCGACATACGTCGTTTTATATTTTGCTGGCTGACTGACTGTTATACCCCTAATACGTAAACGTAATTTCACATGCCGCCTTGGTTTAAGTAACAGGATCTGGACTGCCGGTGTGGACTGTGAAGAAGAAACTTCTTCTCTTGACTGTAGACTCTGAACCACCACTCGGGACACCGAACGCCGACCGGAAGCTGGCGTACAGTCCAAAACGAGCGATGGCCGAGCTCCGGCACTCAAGTTCGCTTGGGAGCCGAGCCACCTCGTCTCCAATGAAGCGCGACGAGGACGCATCTCCTCTTATCCACGATCACAACGCCGTCGATGACCACCCGCGCCACACATTTCGAGATCGGGACCGTCCGTTCTGGTCTTATTTTCACTCTTGTTGCCCTCTGTTCACGGATGATCCTAGGGTTTCTCACCACGGCTCCAGGATCTCGTTCGCTTTGCTCTTCATTATCGCCGTTGCTGGAGTGATCTCGGTTTTTTCAATCGTCCATAGATTAGTAAGTCTTCCTAATTCATTGCGATATTTTATCTTATCTTAACAAAATTTCAGAATGTCATTTCCTTTGTTATGGAGCAGCTGAATTAGGAAAGTTCATTTTTCAATTGTTTAACTTGTTTGTTAAACATTGTGGTTTGGGATTTGGGATTAGGTTACAGATGGCGTAATCTCTGTACTTTTTTCAATTGAAATGATGCACGGTAGAGATTAGTGTTTCATTTCCTCTGCACTCTCTACTCTTTTCTTCAGGAGCTGCAATAGAATGGTAGATTTTGAAGGGATTTGTGTTTTCGCTGATAGATGAGAGGAGAAAAGTAATTTAATTTAATGTAGTTTTCATATGGCAATTCTGGGAAACTTTTGTCTAAATTTTATGGCACGTGATATGTTCTATATGCTTGCAAAAATCATGTTTTGTATATTGGGATAACTTATTTCTTCTTTTTGGTGAATTAGATCCCATGCTGTTGTTAGATCTCTTATTTTCTTTTTACAATTCATGCTGGATGCTGCTAAAATTTCTGGCAATTGATTGTAGAATGCCCCGTACCTGTGTAAAAAGGATGGTATCGTTCTTCACTGTCCACATGTAAGTTTCTGAAGATTCTCCTGTCTTATTTTTGTATACTTCAGTTTGAGATTTTATGATAACTTGTACATTTTACTTCATATATGGAATTAATTTGTTAACTGTAGGTCAAAGAGCCTTCTTCACTTTGGGAGAACCCATTTTCTGCAACTACTTCTTGGAAGCCTTGTGCTGAGCGCCGTGATGGTGGAATATCAGGTGATTCTAGAATCTCTTTCGGTAGTTTAGTTTATTTGCTATCTTAATTTGAAAATCCATTGGATTTTAAAGCATCTCTTCTCTAGAGTTAAAAACGAAATGGCTTAATAATAGTACGGAGAAAGAACTTTGAATGAATTTCATGTGATTTCTTGCCCCTAAAATTCCTGTATACAACCTCACCCCCCCTAACTTCGATTGTACAAGCTGGAGGCACTAGCACAATCGCATAACATTCCAAGCTACTTTAGAAATTGTGACTTTAACATTCTTTAATTGTATTTTCATTTGTCAGGCATCTTCTTATTAACCTTTTACATTTTAGGTTAGTAACTTTTATAAACATTCTACAGATCTTCCTCCTGAGAATGAAACAAGTGGTTATATATTTATTCATGCTGAGGGGGGTCTCAATCAGCAGAGAATTGCGGTATGAATTCCTTTTTTTAGATGATAGCCTTGGTCAGAATGTCATTTTATCCTGTTTCCAATTTTAAATGTTTGAGCATATCATTTTGTTAATTTCTTCTAACTGATTTTGTTACACCTTTCAGCGTTCTTTTAAGTTTGGCTTATCAGTTCGAATATACATACTTTTACATTTTATTGAAACCTTCAAGTTGCTAATTTGATCCTGAGTGGGCTTGTTATTGCTCTTGATTAGTGATAGGTTACTTTGCCTGAAGTATGCGCATCGTGCTTATAGATGTTTACTTTAGCATTCAACTTGTGCAAAATAGCTTAATTTAGAGATTGTGGGATCTATTAATTGTTCTGAATTGAAAAATATCTGTCAGGTGAAAAAGCAACATGATTATCTCTTTTTTTTGTTTTTTCTTTTTTTTTCAACAACATGATTATCTCTTATTCCAACACCTTCCAATTAGCTTCAGTAGTTTATATTGGTCTTGCACCAAAGATGTGATTTTATAAGGAACCAGAACCATAATTTGATTCTACTAAGATTCTTTGCCACTATCCGGTGGAAGCTACATTTTGATTCTCCATAGGTTTCTTACTTTCTTTCTGCATTCTGCCTGTGGACCTGAAATTTTATATTTTCAATGTTTCTCAAATTATGTTGCTTAAAATAGTATAAACTATGATTTTTACTTATGGCAGCCTATGATAGGTATCTTCTGTCTTATGGAACACTAGTAGGGTGTTGAGGGCAGTAGCTGCAACTGATTCCTTTGATTTTAAACTTATTTCTGTTGGATATGCTTTCATGCAGATATGCAATGCTGTTGCTGTTGCCAAAATAATGAATGCAACTCTTATCCTGCCAGTGCTGAAGCAAGACCAAATTTGGAAAGACCAAACGTAAGATTTTTCTTCTCCAATTTTCTTGTGTGTGCCATTTCTATAACTAGATAGAATGAATTGTGATCTGCTAAATGCATAAGAGAGCTGTATCATCATGATACTAGTGTTTCCCACATCCAAGGTAAAAGTTATATATGAAAAACCATTGTTTTTACTTGATTTATTTTTATTTTATTTATTTTTTTGTGTGGCTATGACAGTCATAAGATATATATTGGTTCATGAATTCTTGACCTTGTATCTCACACATCCATCAGATATAAAAACTTTGTTAATTGTAACATGCCTCTGTAAAACAAGAGTAATAAATCTGACTGTATGTTGGAATTCTTCTCCATCTGTTCACAACAGAAATTGTCTATGAAAGTAAATTATTTTTCTTTGTTAAATGCTTGCAGGAAATTCGAAGATATTTTTGATGTTGATCATTTCATTGACTACTTGAAGGATGATGTCCGAATTGTCCGTGATATACCTGAGTGGTTTACCGACAAAGCAGAATTGTTTACAAGCATAAGGTATGATTTTTCATGATCTTCTGAGTTATTTTTCTGTTGCATTTGCAAGAGGCAAAATTGTTGAGAGCCAAACCAAAAGTATCCTAACATTCTGAGTTTTCTTTCTGTTTTAATCATGACTCTGTGAGTGACCTGGAGGGCTTGGGCTCAATAAAGATAGTAGTAGCTGGCATTTTGCTCTGTGGCACTTGGATGACTGAGAATTCTTTTAGAGTACTAACCATAAATTTTATTAATCAATTATTTTTAGACAAGTTCATAGAACTAGATTCGCTAGTAGCTTATTCCATCTTGAATGATGGGAATTAATTGTCAGATATATTACATCTTGGTATAAAATATTGTCTTATCTTTATAGTAATTTGCTAACTGATACAGTTGATTAAATGTTTAACTAGACAATTTTCTGCATCTTGCATATGTATGGAGGTTGAGCAATCATCTTAGCCTTTTATGTTGCCACGAGTCAGAGTCTAACTGTTTGTGGGGTTTTATTGGAGTTGTCATCTTGTTCACATACTAAAAATTTTCACATCAAGCTTTGAGAAATTCAAGAATCAAAACATTAGGCTTTGATCATTTGATAATTGTTGGTAGTCTCTACCATTAACCATTTCTATACTTGAGAATTTTAAAAGTGTTTTATTTGATATTTAAGTTCAAATTTCTTTACTGTCATTCATTTGATGAAGAAATTTTTGTAATGTAAAATAGACGCACAGTGAAAAACATACCAAAGTATGCGCCAGCACAGTTTTATATTGATAATGTGCTTCCTCGTATCAAAGAGAAGAAAATCATGGCCCTCAAACCTTTTGTTGATCGCCTTGGGTAAGTTGTGGATTTTCGTTATCTTTTCACACTTCATTCATATTCTTTTCATAAGATAAAATAAAATAAAATAAAATAAAGAACCTTAATGTTAACACCCACCCCTGCTTCCCAAACTTTTTGGGTGTTGGATCAGGTATGATAATGTTCCACAAGAAATCAACAGACTAAGATGCAGGGTAAATTATCATGCATTGAAATTTCTTCCAGAGATAGAGCAAATGGCTGATCTGCTAGTCTCAAGGATGAGTAACCGCACAGGAAGTCCAAATCCTTATATGTATGTGACATTTTTGTCTGAAATTTTGCTAAACCATGATTTGAGTCCGCTGCTTTTAAATCTAATGGTAGTAACGGTTTGTCTTATGCAGGGCTCTACATCTTAGGTTTGAGAAAGGCATGGTAGGTTTATCATTCTGTGATTTTGTTGGGACAAGGGAGGAGAAAGCCAAAATGGCTCAATACAGACAAAAGGAATGGCCTAGACGGTATAAGGTGACCTAGAATGAAATGTTTATCCAGTTTGCTGGTTTTACTGTTTGGTAATTACCAAAAAGCATGCATGGATTATGGTTTTTCTTTGGTTGATTTTGCATGCAGAATGGTTCCCATCTATGGCAGCTGGCTCTGCAGAAGAGGAAGGAAGGGCGGTGCCCTCTTGAACCTGGTGAAGTTGCAGTAATTCTTCGGGCAATGGGTTATCCTAAGGAAACCCAAATTTATGTTGCTTCTGGTAAGGTTTATGGTGGACAGAACCGGATGGCACCTCTAAGGAACATGTTCCCTAATCTGGTAAGGACTTATAGATTGCTTTTACACTATGGAATTGACTTACAACTAATATGAAATATCTTTGAATTGAGTTTTAAAGAATCTTCTAGCTCAAATTCATTTTCTCCTCTCTTCCATCCTGAAAGTTTAGTTTGAATCATTAGTCTTGCTTTAAATTTGGGAATATCTATTCCTCTGCAGTTGTCCTGTTCTCCTTATTATATTATAAATTCCTTGTTAACCTTGGAACCAAGAAGTTTGCTATATTAGCTTCTACTTACTCTAAGGTCATTGCCAATCATTACCAATATAACTAATTACATGCAAGGAGGAAAAGGATATTGGCTAATAATTCGGTTTATTTTTATTTGTGTGCATATATTTCCATACACCATGCATGGTATATGTTATGCATGTTTGGTTTTTAATGATATTAAACATTTATGTACATTTAGTTTTTAATGATTTTAAGCATACATTGCTTCTTTTGGAGTGCCATGCTGGTTTTCTGAATTATGCATTGTAGTAAGAGGCAAGTAAGAAAACTGCAGATTTTTTTGTTTTTTTCTTTTTTGATAAGTCTGTTATGCTCATCACGAGAGTTTACTACAGGTTACCAAGGAGGAGTTGGCAAGTAAGGAGGAACTGGATGTTTTCAGGAAGCATGTAACAAGCTTGGCAGCACTTGATTTCTTGGTCTGCTTGAAGTCGGATGTATTTGTTATGACACATGGAGGAAACTTTGCAAAATTGATTATTGGGGCGCGAAGGTACATGGGTCACCGTCAGAAATCTATAAAGCCAGACAAGGGGCTTATGTCTAAATCTTTTGGAGACCCCTACATGGGGTGGGCAACTTTTGTAGAGGATGTGGTTGTCACCCACCAGACCAGAACTGGACTGCCAGAAGAGACCTTCCCTAACTATGACCTTTGGGAGAATCCTCTGACTCCTTGTATGTGTAAAGCGTAAGCACACGTATATCTCTCTCTCTCGTAACTTTTACACTAATGATTCGTTCTGTGGAGCTTCTGGGCTAGGAAACTGGATATAATCATACGAGGAAGGAAAATTCTTTTACCCACAAGCTACGAGGAAACATCTTAGACGAGCAACGAATAAAGTTCTATTCTAGGAAAGATTTTGGCCTACTGAGCAGGAATTGTTTTAAATGTTGTGAGGCCTGGTATGCAGGGACACTGGGTCAGTTTTGTCCTAAAAAACAATGGAATGACTTTAGCAATATATCTGTCATAAAGACAAATGTGTAACTCTGTATAATTTGTAAAATACTAATGAAAGGTGCAAGGTGCTCAATTTTTACACACAAGACAAACTAGTGTTATTGATCTTCGTAGTTCTGGGCTCCCAGTCCTACAATCAAAGGAGATAATTTGAATTTAAAAATATTGATAAGCAAAAGTATAAATTTAACAATTCTTCCCTCGATGATGGCATGCTCAACTGGTAGATTGCCATTTTGTTTAGGGAAGTGGAGGAATAAAAAAGAAACATATTGAGTTTATAACTCTTTTTAGTAAGGTTCATGTTCTCCCATCTAAGACACATGTTGAATGCCCACTCAATATTGTAAAAAATTATTAAGGGAATTGGAGAAATAAAAATAAAAAACTAAAGGTTGGACCCAATTAAAACTATTGTAAAAACTTAGGAATGGATATCAAAATTAAGTTTAGAAAAAAATATTGTGTAATTTAAATTGTACAACTTTAACTATTAAGTGAGGGTAGACCTTTGATATGGGAGGTTTCCTCTTTTATTTAATAGTTTTTATTTTCCAGTTTATAAACAATATAACAAAAAACCCTTAACTTTAATATAAAATTAAAGAGTAGTAACAAAAGTAAGATAGTGAAATTCAATTTGCAATCTTCTTTTAATAAAAATAAGATATTTAACTTCAAATCACATGCATGTATACAATCTGGTAGAGGCAAAAAGTTATATTTAGTCTCTTACCTTATAAAGTTTGTTATTTTTAACTTATTATCTTATACATTGAAACTTTTAGTTTTTAAATATAAAAATTTAAAAATTTTAGTCCCTAAATTAATTGAAGTCATGAATTATTTGTAAGTGAAATTAAAAAATTATAAGATCAATCCCCAA